ATTAGTTTTAATTAGTACACAAAATGATTATTGCTGCAACAAGAGACGTCCATGGAGCTCTGGTGGAATATAAAAGATAATAATAATAATAATATCGAATACAAGTGTCAAAAGCTATACTTGAAGCGTAAAATACGTTCCATTCTTTTGCATTTATGGATTCTAATCGATACGCATATTATTGATACTATTCTATATAATTACTAAAGGGAGTGGACGGAGTAATATTTGCAATGCGTTGAGGTTATCGATTTTAAAGTTGAGTTGATTGCCGCAGTACTGCAATGTAATAATATAGATGGCCCATTCAACCATGGACACACGTTACCAGAAAGCTATTGCGCCATTAAATGGATAGTATACATGACACAATGAAAAACGATAATTTATTCGTAACGACGAATAACGCAGTTGCGCGTACCATTTCATTTCTTTCGAATTTCCCTGTCCTGTCATACACGGCGCATTAGCGCCGTTTAGGAAAATACGAAATTTTCGCAGTGTTTACGTTTAATGCGATTACGGCGCTGCTCTGCGAGGAAGCGACATAATCGTGACATACATATCGCGCCGCTGAATAACGCGCGTCGACGGCTTTACGCGCACGCTGAAAAATCTTGGTGCACTTCTGGCGAATTGCGCTATCTCGAATACTTCTCGACCGTATAAATCTCCGCGGTCTCATCGAAACGCGTGATTAAACCCTCAAAATGATCGCGAACGGAGGAAGGAGCGGTCGCCGTTAAAAAGCGCGGACGCGCGAAACCGCCAATTAACATTTATTCCAACATTTTTCTTGCTGTTTCTATTCTCCATACGTTCATTGAAGAGGGAGAAGCGCTGTGAAAGCATGGGACTGATTATGACATTTATGAATACATCGCAATAACCTGGAACGATAATGCCCAACGGTTATAAAAGACACGCTGACTATTGTCCTTCTCTCTCTTTCTTTCTTTTCGTTTTTGTTTTTTTTTATTGAAATTGCGCGCTGCCATTAAGCGCGCCTTTTATTACGTGCCCGCTTGTCATTTGCGTTACACAATAATTTTGATTTGTCGGAGAATAAAATTTTTATTTCACAAGCCAATTGTTGTAATAAAATATAAAGGCCTGCACTTTGCCGCCTGCACTGCTAATGGTAGTTAATACATTTGTACTTTTATTTTATTAATATAATTTTCACGTTTCTCTTTTTTTTCAGTAAATCACAATGGATTATTAGCGACGCGATATTTAAAATTAACATACAACGACGTGCATCATTACGAAATCATATTAGAGTATTCATTATAGATGAATAATAAATTTCTGCAGAGAATGCATCAAATATTTCCATCTTTCGTTGCCCGAGAGAATTTTATTTGTGTATAAACGCGCAGACATTAAAGGCGAGCCAGAAACATATACGTGATCGTATCGAATGCGAAAAAGAAGAAGTCGGTACAGAGAGATGAGGCTGGCCTTCCTCCCTCGAGCGATGAAACTATAAAGCCACTCCTAGTAAGTTGTAAAATTGTAATAGCCTTCCGGTATTTACATAATGCTACGGCGTAATAAGTGGAACTCGCCCGAGTTTCTATTACCATTCCGCCGCTATCCGCTCTTATCTCTGCTAACGACCCGAGGGGCCCCCGCTCGCCACCCGTCCCTCCCGTGACTTATATTTTTCCACCTTATTCTTCGTCGGGCTAACCGCGGCGAGAAGAGCGATCCACGCCGTCGCTTGCAATCCCCATCTTTTGTTCGCGCTTTTGCGACGAAAATTCGGCCGTTTATTCCGTTTGTTGGTTTTCTCGGCTCTCCCGAGCTAAATGCGCGAATTTATTTCGTCGTAATAAGTCGGAAAAGCAGCGCCTGTGACAAGCCGGGCAGCGTTTACTTCTTTTTTTTTTTTTATCTATTTCACCGCATGATAATAAAAAATGTGGGAGTTAGTTTTTTCGGCTGCGAGAAAAAATAAATTTGCAGCCAGGAATATATATTTGTTTATGACTGCTTGAGTGAAACTTTTCTAAATTGAAACTTTTCCTGTCTTTTACAAATTGATCCTATGTTGTACACGATATTACGGGGAAGGTACTTTTTAGTAAAAGTGTTACGTACTAATATTCTCTTTTACTCTCGCCATTTTCTCTCTCGACTACGTCGCAACAGCTTGCTCGGACATTTCGAAGTAGCTTCTGAGCGTCGCAGATATAAATAAGATTTTTGTTGTAGATTGCGATTGGGGGGCAGGACCAAAGTCTTCGTAATTTTCACGAGAATGTGTTCATTATACGCAATTGGCAGTGGCAAACTGCAAAAAGACTTCAGAGTGAATTTCATTTGTCAATAAAGAGGGAAGTCGAGTTCCCGTTTTCAGCATCGAAGGAGAAAAGGGGAAGCTGCAGCGGCTTCATTCGAATAAGTGACCTCCTTACTTTAGATTCGCCTTCCTCCACCGTTTCTCTCCTCCCTGCTTTGTCCATACATAGTATCATCCTTTTTCAGTCCTTCCTCCCTCCCCCCTCTCTCTCTCTCTCTCTCTTTGGTATCTTATCCTCGCGATGAGTGTCTCGCTGACGAAATCGGGGCGAGTCGTTTATTTAATTTTCGAGATCCCGCTATTTTATTTTTATCCCCGGGACTTTATACACTTCGTTGATTAACCCACCTCGCGAGGAATCTACCTAACTCATTCCCCCCCACGGGTCGTCGAAACGAAGAAAGCTGCGAGTTTGCATGGTGGGGTTGAAGAAGGGTTAGAGACGGAGAGGGGGAGAGGGAGTCGAGTTCAGGAGCGCACGGGCTTCTTCCGGGGGTTTGCGTTACTCACCGGATATAGAGATGTCTAAGCCCAGCCATCACTGAAATTGCCAGAGTTTACCTCTTCCGCCCTTTCCGCCGCACTCCATCTCTCTCCTTTGCTTCTCCTTCCACCACGCTCGAGTTTTCCTTTTCTCAACGCGGAGCTTCCGCCTTTAAAATGTTCGACTCCTGCCTTTCATTCTCCGGCTCATCCGGCTGCGGCTTTATTACAATGCGATTGTATTATCAAGATTTTAAGACTAGAAGTATCGGTCTTTCCCCGAGATCTCCTTCCTTTCAGCACTGCCTTGAGCTCTTCATATTAATCTGTCTTGTAGAGGTGGTTGATTTCACGGAGAAATCGATGAGCGATTTTATCGAATTACCTTGCCGGTGTTTATTCAAATGCTAACGACTGCTAACCACGTTCACTTATTGTCGCCGGTAATCGAATCCAAGTTTTTACATATGAATTCTTTCTCCGGTTTTTATTTGTTAAAAGTAAATACAATTATATAAACCTATTTTGATTTATTAAATATGAAATAAAGAATGAAATATTATTACTGTTTATTGAAATTTCGGAATATTTCTTTCAGTTTTTTTTATGTATCTTGAAAATTTATACACACTTTATACATTTAATTGTTTTATTCTAATACGGTGGAATAGATAATTGAATACTGATCGGAATTTCTTGCGGTCTCTGTCTCTAATTCGTCGATTACCTATATTATCAAAGCACATATGACATTCGCAAGCTTGCCGACGCGTGGGTGGCAAGACTGACGTTTTGCGTTCTAGCTAGAAATGCAGAGAATATCGGAGATCGAAGACGTCGACTTTGTCTGATGCGCGATCCGATACGCGATGTCGCTACGAACGACCTTAAAGAATGATGCCGCATTGCTTGTTTCGAGGTCGCTGTACTTCTTCGCGTTCCTTTGAGCTCGTGACACGCACGTTTCAGACGAATCTGCGATAAGCGAATGCCGAATATAACATTCCCTTCGACTTCGACCATGACCTTTACTACGCCGTTCCCGGCGTATCATCTTTCAAAGTATTATCTGGTAACACTCTCTGATAATAGCTGCTTTTTTCTTTGCAAAGTCCGTCAAAGAGAGAAAATCATATATGTACTACTTATATCATATCATATCTTATCTTATATCATATCATTTGGTAGACCTTACTGCGATGCATTGAAATCTTATATTTTAGAATTCTAGACCATTTCTTTGTTTAAAATATAAAATTTCTGCACGGTAGTAAAGAAAATATACATTCCAAAGTTATAATCTAACAAATGTTATGATATAACGTACAGCATAAAAATGAATAAAATGAACATTTTAAAACATTCTAGACCATTTCTTTCTTTAAAATATAATATTTCAATGCATCTCAGTAAAGTGCAAATAATATGATATAAGATTCTAAGACATAAAAATAAATGATCTAGAATGTTAAGCAGCTGATATTGAAAAGATCATTATTAAATAAAAGTTTTAAGTTTTTACATAATTAAATAATTAATTAATTTCTCTTATTGGCCGAATAGATAGATATAATTATTAAGGATCATTGAATTAAATACAATGAAACGTAAATATTAAATTTTATTTTAATCAGTGGTGTTTTCTTTTAATATTATATCTGATATGTTTAAAGCTAAAATGTGCGCGCAACGTTATGTTCTGGTATTTTCTAAATTTTGTAGAATTTCTACGTATCTTCTGCTTTTATCTATTGATATGTTATATCGAAACGTAAGTTCGGCTGTTAATAATGCATCTACGTCGATTATTTACGACTTTTCCGTCGATAACCAGACAGGTACGGAAACATGAAAGGCTAGAAGCAATGGTAAGAACACCGCCAATCGAAGGAGTCGTCTGCCTGGAAATGTCGTAGCACATCCAGACACAAACTATCCATATTTGATAAGTTTCTTATCAATTTCACTTGCATCGTACCGTGTTGGAAATTTTATTTCCTTTTCCTCGAACATTGTTAGTCATTCATTTCATTTCTTATGTTTTTTGAAGTTCGTAAAGAACTAATACTAAGAAGGACAATATTAGTTAATATTAAATCCTCTGTATTAAAAAGAAAACAAATTATTTGAAGATGGTGTTTCAAGGAGGACTATCTCGCAGTTACAAATCTGTTCACGCTTTGAAATTAATACCTGTTTTCTTTCGCAGATGGTGACAAGGACAAAGAAGATATTTGTCGGGGGATTATCGGCGCCGACGACGCTGGAGGACGTCAAAAATTACTTCGAACAATTCGGTCCAGTAAGTAGAAATATTCAGAAATTTACAATATTATTTGCAGTGCCCTGCATGCAGAGTTAACTTTGTTAAACTCGTCAGCTTTTTTTTTCACAAAAATTGGAAATATTGTGCAAATTAAAAAAAATATTTCTTCGCGACCAAACATATGTGACAATTTTCATTGTAGCGTCACATTTATAACTAGCGAAAATTGCATATGCTTTTGAATTTAGAAAATTTACATGTAATGTATGCTACATTTCACCGGAGTCATGAGCAACGAGAGCAATATCATTGACTATCATTTTCAGTTGGTTACATTATCGATGTATCGCACATCCTCACCATTTCCTCTCGCGTCGCAAAATCGAGCGGCACTGTCGACGACTGTGATTCATGGGATTTACATTGTTTAGTACTTTTGCATATTTTATTGGCCATTTCGCGCGGAACGCTATTGATTTTTGGACGAACAAGTGCACTCATTTCCATTTACACGACGTCAACAGCGCGCGACGACAATTCTGCCTCGCTGCAGTTCCCATGAATTTTGATCGTTATGGCTCATAACGGTGATATCGAGGTATCGCTATTTGGATTGTTTCAAAATGCGTGACATAATATTATTCACGTGCGAATGATCTCATTCACTCTCTAGTGGCCTGACTTGTTCATGGATTACAGAAAGTCAACCTTTGTTAATATCATCACAAAATCACTGTTCTCTCGGCTGTTCCGTATTTAGATTGCCTTTCATGAATTGAAGGTTATTTTCTTTATAAAAATATACGCAACAATGAAATTTCTTTTCAATCACGATAAATAGATTGAATATTTACATTAAAATTTTAAAATAAGAGTAATTATTTCTTCATTGAAAGATTCTCATTAAGAAAAGATATTTCAAAATAGAATCTTTCTTTCATTTAAAAATGACTCATTTATGTATGTCAAACTTCGGAAATCTCATCAGAGTACTTGATTTTTATTTTAAAATAAATTTTCGATTTTAAAACACTCGTGTTTGAAATACAGTGTGTCTTAAAGTTTCATATTTTCTTAATTATAGATATTATATTGATTAAAATTAGAAGAACTAATTATTTTTATTAAGAAAAATTGACTTCAAATTTATCGAATAATCTATCGCAACTTCTGACACATTTTATATAAATTAATTTTTCTTAACTATCAAAGTCTGGTGAAAATCTGAGTCTGACAGCTCGGTATGGGTACGAAGAACTTGTCTCATGTTGTTAAAATGTTGACCAATACTTTGCCATATATTGACAGTTGAAAGTACCAACTTATCACAAGATTCATTTGGGAATCTGAAACGTTCGTTAAAAGAATCTCGACATTCCAAACAGGAAATTGAGTGATTAATGAGCGATTAAACGAACTGTTTAACTGAACTATTTAGGACATTTTTTACTAATTAACCACCATCGAAAAATCTTTAGAGTGGATTATTGTTCGAGTTTCTTCATTTAACTGTCACGTCGATTTATTGAGTTCGATTGAAATCGGCAAGTAGCACACACACGCGATCTTTGATTTCAATTCCGGAACGGTTGCTCTAAATGGCTTTCCGCGAGGCAGTAATAATAAATGATTCTAATGGGGAAAGGTAGAATATATATATATAATAGTTATTAAATAGAAAGTTTTCGGCTATTTGTCGTTCTCGAGCTAAAATCGTATCATGAAATTAGTGGAATCGTTGCATCCAAAGTATCTCACTTTTGAACATTATTTTTGAAACGAACAAGTTGCAATTTGTGTTAACTGCTCGCAAATATGGAATATAAAAGATTTTCTTCCATTATTATTATTGTGACCTCAATAATGTATAAATTTATTCTTGTAAAATAACAATCTTAAAAATTCTTATGGCATTTAATATTAATCGAATTCGAAGAGAACAACAAATATATTAGTCAAAAATAAACATTTAATCGTCAACTAGCGTTATTTGCTGGCTGCATTTAGATCGCGTGTAACAAACAAGTTACAAAGTTGACTCTGCGGCTCAATGTAACCGAATTCGCTGCGGGTCAGCCTAACAATAAAAGCACGCATGAGCATCGTGATAATACTTTTCCATTACGATAAATCGGATTTCTTGTCACGGTCAGGCACGTGCATGTATATCGTATGTTAAAGCCGGCGACGGAAATGATCGGAAGAACCGGCGCCGCTTATCATCGATAGCGGGAATCCGAGATACGGAAGGAAATTCGGCGCTGCCGAATGGCCGCATAATAAGGCGACCCCGGTCGTCCGTTTCAGACGCAGCCGGCGGATATAGAAATTTATTGGAAAACTTGGTCGATTCCAGCCGACAGATGTATGCTCGGCTCTCAGGTGACACGATGTAGTTTCGAGGAAGTCAGGGCTAGTGAAGTACGGTCGGAGGGCGGAGGAAGAAAGAAAAGGAAGCCGGGAGTGTGCGACGTTTGTCCGCAGCTTGCGGCGCACGAGCCAGAAATGGACTTGAGATATCAGAGCTCGTCGTGCTATCTGCGGCCTAACCCATCCCTAAAACTTCTCCCTCCCCCCCGTCCCCATCCTCTCTTTTCCCACGTTTCTCCGTCGAAAGTCCCACGTCCGTTTTTGAATGCGGAGTTTCCGGCTCGTAGCGACTCCGACTTCGCCGCCGTCTGTGTATGTGTGTGTGTGTGTGACCCATATCGGAGATATCATCGGGCGTGCACGCGCGCGCTGGCGGACGTGTATGACGCCATTTCGGAATTCGACTCCTACGTACGTCGCATACACGCGAGCACTGCAAATCCGTGTTCACACCCACGTGCGCACACGATTGTGCTATATTCGCACTCGACGACGACTAACGGGCTGAACAAAAGTGAAGGGCGGAAATTTAAAGCTGCGCGATTTGCAAAGTAATCAGAATGCGCTTTCTTTTGCCGTACGTACGAACGGAAAATATGAATACCATTGTTTATCAGGTTCTCGCGCTCTTTCATTTAATACTCCCGGCTTCGTTTTCACGTTAGTCGATGATAATTATGCGAAGAGTTGCTATCCGAGTACTTCTAAATCTGGCAACAGTCTAAAAAGCTTTTGTTTTCACATCCGACCACCAAACAGATGACGGCTGCCTAATGTGAGTTTGCGGTTGTCGGTATCTACGAGCCGCGTTCGTGCCTGGAACGTAAACACACAAGTGCGAGGCAGATCCTGCCGTAAACTTCTATCACTCGCCGGGTCTCTCCGGGTCAGTCGAATGCTCCATCTCGTTGATACGTATCTGATTCCACTTTTGCTTCGCGGAAGCGGAGCGAGAGAACGAGCGTGAAAGCGGAGAGATTTCTGTCGACGAAATAGCTCGACCGCGATGTAGCTGATAAAGCTAATGGCATTGCCGGGAAATGCGTTATACTTATTGCTTTTCCGGCTTATGAAACTTTTTAAAAATGGCTATTACGCCGTTCTAATAAATATTTATACTCATCTATGATGTTGAAGAATCCGCGATAGTGTTTTCTATATACATTTCTAAGCAATGTTATTCAATTAGTTTTATATTCAATTTTGCATTACATATTCTTTCATATTTATACGAGTTCAACTTGATGATCTTAATGAATATTGGAGAACGAAAATTTTGTCTGAAAATTAATGTATCTATTTAAAGCAATGTTTTTCAATAAAAAGAATAATTCTTTTGCATAAATTTAAAAAAAAAACTTTAATAATGACAAATATGTATGTTTCGAAGACGTAAAAAATTTTTGAAGCAATATTTTAGCATATAAATTTTTAAACATAATATTAAATATTTTAGAATAATTTTACATAGAAATTATGGAACACTTTACTTTCACGATTTTGCTTATCCAACAAAGAGGACAATTTTTTGCACTGCTGTAAGCAAAAATACGCATATCAATGCGTGTTAACAAATATCTACATAGCAGCAACTTCCTGTCGTCATTAGAATTTGGAAAGAATCGAGTATAACGGTTGGCGTGAATGCAAATCTCGACTCGATATACATAAATTGGCGGCGAACCCTGCCCTCCTTCGTCCCTCGTCCAAGGCCGGCCGCGTATCGCAGACCGCCGCCAGCACGCGATTTAAAACTTAGATGAGGCCGTCCAGCGACGTTACCTGAAAAATGAATGGATCCCCGAAGAGAGCGAGAGCTTAATTGCGCTCGCTCTCAAACCCCCCGGCCTCCTTCTTCGGCAGTCGAAGAGCCGGAAACGAGAGTGGATGAAGCGGCAAGGCGATAAGGGTGGGAAAGGAACGGCGGTTAGCGGCGGAAAGCTAGATCTCTTTGACGCTGTACTTAACGGTCGACTTGAAATTAAGAAATTAAGAATTAATACGAACCTTGGAACCGGTCGTTCCGCCTCTTTCCGCCGGCAAAGGTCGCCCGCGTTTAATTCTCACACTGAGGAACAAATTTTTCAAGAAACGGGCCGTTCTCTGATCCGCGCCGCGATAAAGTTTGCTCGTTCAGATATCGAGAAGCGCTCGGTAATCGTTGCGCACTTGATCACGAGTGATGGCGGCTGAAAGCTTTGATGATTGCTTTACTTTGAAAGTGCAAAACAATGTTTTTTTTTTTATTGCTGCTTTCTTTCTGATTCGACAATTTAAAATTATAAAATTTTATTCCATTGTGAGCAGCCTCAATAAGCAAATATCGCAAATAATATTTTTAAATATATTAGTAACGCTTTTTTTTTTGTAATATCTAAATGCGACAAAACAGCAGCGTTTTACGGCTACGTGTTTTTCGCGTAATTGCATCCAATTATAGTCTAACACGTGTCCGCTGTGACCAAAGTTTGAAGCGAAGGCACAAAATAGTTACGCGCTCTACGGCTGCACGCATTTCTCTCGCCGACTTCTATATTCGTCGGTAAATAATATTTCCAACGTTCGAACATTTTCGTTTTGTTCCTTTTCGCGTAGAATATTACCGCAGTCTACAATACATCACTTGCAATCGCGCGCACGCTTCCAATATTTGTTCGCCGTTTCGT